AAGCTAGAGTAACCAAAACAGTGTGGTATTGGCATAAAGACAACACATAGACCAATGGAACAGAATAGAGAGCCCAGAAATAAACCCATGCACATATGGTCAACTGATCTTCAACAAGGGTGCCAAAATACACAATGGGGAAAGGATAGTCTCTTTAATAAATGGTGTTGGAAAAACGGGACATTCACATGCAAAAGAATGAAATTGGACCCTTACCTTACACCACACAAAAAAATGAACTCAAAATGGATTAAACTTAGAAGAGCAGAAAGTGTAAAACTCTTAGCAGAACACAAAGGCATTGAAAATTCATGTCCACACAAAAGCCTGCACACAGCAGCTCTATTGATAATTGCCAAAACCAAGATGCCCTTAGCAGGTGAATGGATAGACTGTGGTACGTACATACAATGGAATAGTATTCAGCACTGAGAAGAAATGAGCTATTAAGCCATCACAAGATGTGAAGGAAATTTAAAGGCCTATTACTGAGTGAAAGAAACTAATGTGAAAAGGCTGCATACTATGATTCCAACTCCGTGACGTTCTGGAAAAGATAAAATATGAAGACTGCCAGATGATCAGTGGGGAGTTGTGGGAGGAATGACTAGGCAGAGCACAGAGGAATTTTAGGGTAGTGAGAGTACTCTGAACGATAATGATGGACACATGTCGACATGTGTCCAACCCCAGAATGTACACCACCAGGAGTGAACCATAGTGTAAACTGTGGCCTTTGGGTGATTATGTGTCAGTGTAGTTCACCGATTGTAACAGATGCACTACTCTGGTGAGGATATTGATTGGGGGAGGGGGGGCGGGCGCGAGGCCATGCATGTGGGGACAAAAGGTATGTGAGAAATCTCTGTACCCCCCATTTAATTTTGCTGTGAACCTAAAATTGCTCTGAAAAACACTGTCATTTTTTAAAGGATAAAGGAACAATAAAAAGCTCTTAGAAATTAAAGCTATCACACCTGAATAAAATATCCAGTAGAAGAGCTGGAAGACCAAGTTAAGGGTGCATTAGACCAAAAGCATAGACCAGTGGTCGCCAACTGGTGGTCCATGGACCACTGGTGGTCCGTGGTCTGAAAGGTTGGCGACTGTTGGCATAGACAATAAAAGAATGTGCGCGCCCGCATGTGGTATTTTGTGGAAGAGCCGCACTCAAGGGGCCAAAGAGCCGCAGGTGGCTCGCGAGTCGCAGTTTGCCAACCACGGGTAGGCAGTACAACTTTCAGTCTGTAAGAGTTGGAAAATAAGATCAAAATATTAAATTCCCAAAGAAGTAACAGCACATTTACCAGAACCCAAAAGCACATGTCTCAGATGGAGACACCAAGCAGGGCACCAAGGCAGATCATGGTTAAATTTGAAGAATCAGGACTAAAAAGAGGATATTAGGGCTTCCCAAGATTTCAAAATAAAAAAGCGAGGTCAAGGTCACATAAAACAGGAACCAGAAGGACTGGATCCTCTCAGTGGCCACGTTGGGAGTGGACAAGGATGGCTTGGTGTCTCCAGCGTGCTAAGTGAGAAGTAATGAAGAGAGAATCCATGGTCTGGCTGAAGTTTGTGGTGAACCTATGACACGCGTGTCAGAGGTGACACGCGAACTCATTTTTTTGGTTGATTTTTCTTTGTTAAATGGCATTTAAATATATAAAATAAATATCAAAAATATAAGTCTTTGTTTTCTATGGTTGCAGATATCAAAAAATTTCTATATGTGACACGGCACCAGAGTTAATTTAGGGCTTTTCAAAATGCTGACACGCCGAGCTCAAAAGGTTTGCCATCACTGGGCTAAACCATCAACTGAAGGCGAGGGTCAAATAAGGCATTTTCGGACAGGCTAAAATCTTGAAAAACTTGAACATACCCCTTTTCAAGGAACTACAAGGGAACATGTTGAACACTTGAAGAATCTGGAGGATGCAGAACCCAGGAAGCTGGAGATTGAACACAGGAATCTTGGGGAAATAGCTGTGCAAGCACTTGAGGCCAGGGCAGCCGGGGACAGGAGTGGAGAAGCTTGTTGGGGTGGAGGAAGACTGGCTGGTGGGTATATAGGGCACACCAGCAACTTTATCTTTGGGAAAAGCAAAAAGTTGTACATCACGGAACCTTTGGTTTAGCACAAAATATTTAGTCATCATAGTATAAACTCTAATGAACAAAATGTAGAAAGTAAATATATTGGGTGAGTGGGGAGGGGAAGGGAGAGCAGGCAGTGACTTCAGGGGTGTCAGGAACCTGGAAATCGCGTGTTCTCTGAATTGAAAATGCACTGTGCACAGAAAGTTCTTCAGTAACTTTCTTGAGTTTCCCAACAGGCCAGCAATCAAGCCATTCATTCTCTTACAGACCAAACACTGGCTCAGCTTTCTGCTAAGTGAACTACCACAGATCTGCATCATCCCCTTCTCTTCCCTGTGTCCTTGGGCTGCCTAAATTATCAGTTGGATGGATAGGAGCAATATGGTTTCACATCCGACCCTCAGGCAATGTTGTAGGTAGCGTACCCTTTCGCTGTGGCACCTGAATGCCACTTTGGATCAATGTGGATTCGCTGGGCGTCCTGTTCCTCTGCTTTCCCCACACTATCCTTAAGGGTATTTTTCTCTGTGTAGGCAGCCAAGCCAAAATCATATATAATAGAAGATAAGATTTAGCCTACTTCCTCTTTAGGTAATGTTTTCATTTTCCATTTAAATGCAGATGTCGTACTTCTTAATGAGCCTTGGTAATGTCCTAATAGGAATACATTTAACATCACAGCAAAATTCTGCAGAGCCACCCACTCAGGCTTGTGAGTAGCCGCTGGCCTGGTGTCCGGTCGGTACGTGTCTCCGTGTCCAGGACCCAGTGTTTTTGCACGTCTGCAAGGCCAGCGAGTGTCTTGTGGAAGAGTGCGTGTGGCTTCCCGTGGGCACCGTTGGTCATTCATGGAGCTGCCCATCTTCGCAATGAGGTGGTAAGAGGGCACGGTCACCCTCTTCACTCATCTTTGGGTCCCTCGAGCACAAATAGATACATTTGTTGAATGAAATGATAGGGAGCTGAGATTCTGGATTGAAGAGGGATATTTTTTAAATTTAATTTTATTTCAAACAGCACTGAAAAATTACAGGAATGTTTAAGATAAAGCTAAGTATAGTTTTGTGTCAATTTAAGAGTAAATATTACCTGTGGATAGGGCAGAGTGTGCATGAGCAACATTTGAATGCCCACCACTTTTCACAGGCACTGGAGGCGAGGGGTGATGGTCACAGCCCTGAGTGCTGGTGTCAATAAGCCAAGGAAAAGCCAGCCACAGAAAACACACTGACCATCAACCAAGAACTCTACCACATCACAGACTGTTTGAGATCATCAGCGGTGACTTTATTTCATATAAAAGTTACATTGAAAGAAGAGGTTGAAAGTCAAGTATACTTGATTTGCACATACTTGCCAAGTCTCACAGGATTCAACCACTTTGATAATTTATTGATAAACAAGATATACATATTAAAAGGCTCACACTGAAGCCCAATACACAAGTCCAACCCAGACAACAGATGTGCAAAAGAATATGCAAAACAGTCTCAGGAGACTCTCCGGATGGGTGCCTGGCCCTGGGACAGTGACAGCCCCCCGGAGCTCACAGTTTCTGCAGTGACTGGTTCACTTCCACATCCCACAGCTTTGTTCACTGGCTACCACTGTGTCTCGAGTAGGTCCCTTTGTGGTTTTGCATCAGCAGTGGTAGAAACCCTGATTAGGAAAGGGTGCGGATCACTTCAAAACAGAAACAGAAACGGTTCACAGATGAACAGAAAGGCATGAGGACCAGGAGGGAGACACCAACTCTTCTCAGCGTGGGAGGCAGGCTCACGGAGACCCTCGGGCTGTCACAGACGCTTCCTCATGGGTCCCGCGAACATGGACAAACCAGGCAAGTTTAAGGCGAGTCCCCAAGGAGGGGAGCTGTTTGCTTTCTAGCATAATTTTAAGCTCTGCACCAAGGGTCCTTTTTTTTAATCACTGGTGACATGGGTAGAGAAACAAAAATGATAATAAAAAAAAAAAAGAAAAAGAAAAGAAAGAAAAACAAGCTGTTGCCATCCTGAATATTCTTTGCAAATGAGGGACACAGAGTCTAGGGTTCATGGCCTGTGGTCCCTCACCTTCTCGGTGATGCCAGTGGCCGACCCCTCAGTGTGTACCTGTCGCTGTGCGGCCCTTCTTCCTACACGCCCACCACGCTGCACAGGTGAAGGCCGCCAGGGGACTTAGCTCTTCTCCCACCGAGGTGCCGTTTATACACTGCTAATTTGGGCAGAACTGAAAAAGTCAGTTCCGAGGCCCTCATGTGCTCACGATTTTTAAGATGAAACGAAAACAGGAGGGCAACAAAGGACCACACAGGAATGATTGTTCTTTGGATCAAGATATTCTCCAGTTTGCAATACATTCATAGTGAACCCACGGGAGGAGGATCCCGGGGCAGCTCTCCCCGCTTCCCTGAAACGTCGGTTTCTAAAAAATAGTTAGTTTGCTGCTCACGGCCGTTAAGTGTTACATCGCCTAAACAACACTGTCAATTTTAAAACACACATGCACGCGCGCACACACACGGACACAGACACGCACACAGACTTGCTGCAGGATCACGGAAGGCCCCTCCGGGCAGTGGGAGTGTACCTGGAGCCGCCTTCGTGTGCAATGCACAGATCTTCTGCAAATTCAGTGCGAATGACAGAGCTAATGGAGACCAAAACGTACTTCTACGTAAACGCCCCTGTGGACCAAGGGAGTGCACTAATGAATCGCAGGGTCAACAGGACTCCCTGTGACCACTCGTCGGAGAATTCTTTCACTGGATTTCAAAGAATTTATCAATTCTTTTCTTCTTAGTGATTGAAAACAGCAGCTCAGTACACAGGGTTTGATAACCCATGTGATATCACACAGCTTCTCAGGAATGCAACGCAGTCTTAACAAAGTCCTAACTGGAGGGACGAGAATGACATTTGGCTTCTTCACGTGGCCAGCTCCCTTCTGTTAGTTGTGCAGGTGAAAACACCTGCATCATCCAGTTCCTAGTTTGGAAAATCTGCCACCTGCGACGGTAAGTATATAAGATTCTGCTTGCTGCAAGCAACTGGTTTGTGGAGGTCCATTTGCCCTATTGGTCACAGATGAGTTGTTGATACCCTTTCAGACACCAAATAAATAATTTCAAGTCCATTCACAAGCTCCAGCAGAAGAGGCGTCTCAAACGGAGAACTCCGGGCCTCCTTTTCTGGGTCTCATTTGTAGTCGCCTAAATCGGAAGCCGACGAAGGGATTTATCCAGAGGAGGGAGGGAGGTCCCCCAAAGACAGACTTCATCCCCTCCCATCGCAGGCGCCGCTCCCAGGTCGGCTCCTCGCTTTTCAGTCTCTCGATCTCCTGGAAGCAGAGAGAAAAGCGTGTGGGTGGCAGTGCCAGGAAACCCCCACACAGCCAGGTTGGGCCGAGTGCTGAAAGCGTGGAATCACCAAACTGTCCCTCTGCATCTGAGATCGAGGTGGAGGTGAAGTGTGGGCTCGCTTTCCCTGGCACCAGCCCCACGGCCTCCCTGAGCACAGCCAGGCTACAGCCGCCTGGCCAGGCCAACATCACACAGCCAGGCAGTGGCACCAGCGACGAGGACTGCTGAAGAGCCACAGTGGTGAGGAAGAGAGCTAGTCCTCCGGGCCCAGGGCAGCCTTTAATTCATTTACTACAAATATTTATCGAGCGTCTGCTCTAGGCCTACAGTTCAAAGGCATGAAGGCGATCAATTCCTGCAACTCCCTCAGCTGCTCCAGGGCCTGGGTCTCCTAGAAACTGGGAACCTGCCTGGCTCTGTTGACTCTCAGGTCATACTGATCCCTGAAATATGCACTCGCATAAGGACAGGAAGAACAAATACAGCGAGCCTGTCGGAGTTATCGCGGCGGCCCAATTAATCTCCGAGTTAATAATACACACCCACCTGCTGTGGACATTAGAATTTCCCATTTACTCAAGCTCTCACCAAACCTTAAGCAAACACAGCCCAGGATGAAGCATACCGTTTCATCATTGCATATTGAGTGGATCTGGGTGCCGAACATAACTGCAGTGAAAGTGAAAAACAGGAGACCCTCAAGGCACAGGAAGATCAACAGGATTACAGTGATCGGAGGTGAAAAATCACTGCATTCTGCGAACGAGAGAAAGGATGTCATGAGTTTAGCTCCCAGGACCCTCACAGTGGCAGCCCTGGGCCAGCTTCTAGGGAGAATGTGCTCATCCTCTAAGTAGGCACACTCATTGTTCACCAAGGGGCAGAGGTCAGCCTTCCGAGCGAAAATTCACACCACCCTTTCCGGTCAGCGGTTTCCAAAGATTCCATAATAACTGAGGTTTCTACTAAGACTGTATCTGTGTATTAAAGTGCAACAAAAGCCGGAGAAGAGGGGCAGGTGTACCACGCACAGAGTACACACAGGCCACTCCTCCCCCACCCCCGGGGCAGGACAACTGTACCTGCCTGGGCATCCAGGGCTGGACAGGCCCTGCCCACCTTCACCACAGTCATTTAGTCATGAGGAACACGCTGAACAGTGCCTAGCTGGCTAACCAGGTTTGGTGGGAACAATACTAACTTCCCTTAGTCTTCATATCTGCAAAATACAAATGAGACTATCTAATAGAAATTATCAACTGACTGAGGAAGAATAGTTATATAAAGAACTTCATTATACTAGGAAAAAGGCAGTGCTAATACCTACCCATATTCTTTTCTTAAAAACAAAAAAACCAACTCCTAAAATAACAGCTTGGATTTCTTTCAAAACTGGAAAATCAGTTTTCCTTTAAAGTCTTTCCCTCATCACCCAGCAGCATGACCCCAGGAAGGATGCAGACGGCCTTACCTGTCCACTGCCCCCGGACGCAGGAAATGAACTGGAGTCCACAGAGAATCAGAGCGTGCACTGAAGACAGAGCTATGTACATCTGCAAAGATGGAAAACTGGTCAAATGGTGAGCAATCACCTAATTCTAGGAGCAAAGGCCGCTTAATCTGACGTGGACGCCTCCATTGCATTTGTCAATAAAATGAATGAGGGAAGGCATCAATCGAGTAGTGACATCTCCTACCCAAGAGCATGCTGGACCAAGTTACATAATTTTATAGGAAAACACAGAGTAGGGAATCATGTTCTAACTCCAGCAAGATCTTATTAAGAACTGTGTATCTGAGGGAACTAAATGACAGTAAAACACCTAAAGTACCATAAGCAACATATATTTACCTGTCAGGTAACTTTCTTCCAATCACAGCACAGAATTATAATTTGAATCCAGAGAAAAGGTTGGAGGGAAACTGGTCTGAGGTTAGAATAAATTCACCAGCTCGAGGCAAGATTTTAGTTTAAGAATTTAAAATTCAATGTAAGTTACCACATAAATATTTCTACTCACAGTAAAGAGCACAAAAAATCTCTGATTCTTCTCTCCTACACAATTGTTCACCCACGGGCAGTGATGATCCATTTTCCGAATACATCTTTTGCAAATACTGAAAAGGAGAAGTTGGATTATCAGTGTTCCATGCTCTGAGGAAACACAACCCCAAGCCAGGCATCCAATACACAAAATTGTAATGCTGGTCAGAGGTCACTGAGGGGGACCGCCTGCCCGAGGGAGGGGCTGGGGCACCTGCAGTGGTGGGCACGTTCGGGTGCACTAGGGAGGGGCAGGGGTACCTGCAGTGGTGGGCATTCGGGCTGCCCTAGGGGAGGGCAGGGGTACCTGCAGTGGTGGGCGCGTTCGGGCTTGATGCAGCAGCACTTGGGGCACTTGTAGATCACTTCTCCAGGCTTCAGCTGCAAGCTCTCCATGTATTCTTTAGTAGCGTTTCCTCTGGGTACTGCTCCCTACAGTTTAATAAAAATGTTTAGTTAAGGAGAAGGAAAAGTTAAAAACAGTCAATAAGTGTAGGAATATATATCATGAAATAATTAGTTACCACTTAAAGCATATTAGTATGAAAAATACCTATTAGGCAGGACCAGAAGTTTTATTTTGCATGGAAAAAATATGAATTAAAATGAACTCAAAGTAAATACCTTATTATCCCTCCATATGCATGCATACAAGTCCGTTGGTTGATTTCTTACCCCCACACCCCGCCTTCCCTCATAGGTTGGACAGTCTGTTCGATGCTTCTATGTCTCTCTCTGGTTCTATTTTTGTCATCAGTTATGTTGTTCATTATATTCCACAAGTGAGTGAGATCATATGATATTTAGTCACAGGAGTTTTTCCTAGCTAGTGCAAGCTCCACAGAGCAAGGTTTGTGAAGCCACTCCAACTCAAGGGCAGCTGATGGTCACCATTTCCCTATCACCCCCTTCTAATGGGGGGGGCGGCCTGATAATGCTCCCCAGTTTCCTATCAGCTCCCATAGGGAACACTGAACAAAGCAATCTCACAAAGGGCTTATCTTGTTGTTAAATGTAATGCACTGTGTCTGCCAACCTAATCCACACTCACTCTCACACCTGGAGATGAGGCCCTGAGTAACCGACCCAGCTCAGCATCTCTGGCCAGGGGTCAGGAGCTTTAACAGTCAGTGCACACGCCCCACAAGCTAGGGGAGCTGGGGAAAGATGAGCAACGGGGAAGCAAGAGGAAGGCGTTAGGGACAAGTGAACGAATAGCAAGAGGCAGAGCGCTGACGGCCAGGAGTTGTCTTCACAGAACCAGGTAGGCTGGAGGCCAGACACGGGGCAGTGGCCGCCTGAGCATCAAGCACTGTCCCCGAGAGGCTGCAATAGGGAGACAGACAAATCTTGTTAGAACCCCAGCTTTATGTGGGGTCGCATTTTCGGATGTGGATTTACTCCAGCTCTCCCAGGCGCTGGAGGGTTAATGAAAGAACACGTTTGGCAGGGCAACTGGAGCACTGGCTCCTCCAAGGGTGCCCTTCATCAGCAGTTGGCACATGTCTTCTGAGAAGGCTGACGTTCATAAAAAAGGCTGGGCCCTGGCCGGTGTTGCCTTGATCTTTGGGCAGTGGAGAGATGTAATGGTATATATATTTTCAGAATATATCAGAAAAAAGCCTGATATATATATATTCTAGAGGCCTGATGCATGAAATTTGTGCACAGCTGCAGTCCCTAGGTCTGGCCAGTGATTGAAGCTCAAGCATCTGGTGTGGAAGGGCAGGTCCTTTGGGCCCTGGGCAGCACCTGGGCTCGCAGTTCCCCGCATGTCACCCGTCTGTTTGAGTCATGTCACCTGAGTCCCCATGTGGAGATGCAGTGAGCACGGCCGGACGCTGTGGGTTGGGGCCGCCTGCTGCCATGTTCCGCACCGCCCCCTGGTGGTCAGCACACGTCATAGTAAGCAGTCGAATTCCCAGTTGAGGGGATAATTGGCATATTAGGCTTTTATTATATAGGACTAGAGGCCCGGTGCACGACATTTGTGCACTGGGGCAGAGGGGAGGGTCCCTCAGCCTGGCCTGAGCCCTCTTGCAGTCTGGGACCCCTCGGGGGAAATCCACCTGCCAGCTTAAGCCCAATCCCTTAGGTCAGGAGCAGCAGTCCTGCTGTGGGAGCACACTGACCACCGGGGGGCTCCTGCGTTGAGCGTCTGGCCCCTGGTGGTCAGTGCATGTCATAGCAACTGGTCGTTCTGCCACTCAGTCAATTTGCATATTAAGGTTTTATTATATAGGATAATTTCCAAGAGGGAGAGATAGAAACATCAATGATGAAAGAAAATCACTGATTGGCTGTCTCCTGCATGGCCCCCACTGGGGATCAAGGCCTCAACTGGGCATGTACACCGACTGGGAATTGAACCGTGACCTCTAGGTTCATAGGTGGACATTCAACCACTGAGCCACACCAGCCAGCGCATATCCCACTTCTTAGCCCCTCAGAGCCTGTGTTTCATGCAGAAATGCACATTTCTGGAGGAAGAGCCTCACTGAGCCACTGGGAACATCAGGCTAGCGCTGCAGTGATAAAGAAACACGAGGTGACGCAAGGCCAGGAGCTAAGGGCCCTGGGGGACTGAGGAGGCAATGGGTAAGTGGACAGGAAGGGACTCTGCTGACCAGCAGGAGCAGCGCTGGAGCTCCTTAAAGCTGGATGTGCAGGCTGGACCCTCAAACCAGATCTGAACCTCTGTAGGGTGAGGGCCGACATACAAGTTTGAAAAAGACTGAGGACCATCAGCTCCAAGCCCAGCAAGCCCAGCGTCACCAGCAGGAAGTAAGGCCTCCAGGAGGTGCTCTGGGGAAGTGGGACAGGAGGGACTGTGGATAAAATGTACCTCGCCCAACCCTCTACTACAGTTGACTTCCCTCCAAGCACGGAGGGAAGTCAGTTTCATCATCTTAATATGGGGAAGCTGTTTTGGTCAAGGTCCTAGCATTTCCTAACACTCAATCTGCTTCCATAGGAAGATAACAAAAGTTAAGGGTTTAAACTCTAATTTTTGAAAATTAAAATCAGAATGCTGGGTGCAACATTTTACTTAATTTACATATCCCAATTTGGAGTCTTTTAAGTTTCCTCCACCAATCCAAGAGTCTTAATGTTGTTATCTACACTAATAAAAGAGAAAGATGCAAATTGACCATACCCTCATGACACCCACCAGCCAATCAGGAGTGAGTATTAACCCAACAAAGATGGTGGGTTAATTTGCATACGCAGGCATGGAGCGGCGATGACGCAGGCTTTCTGCACTGCCCCTGGCCGCTCCGGGCCTCTGGGTAGTGTGGGAAGGAGGAAAGGCAGCTCTGGGCCAGAACGAGGCAGAAAGGCAGTTCTGGGCTGGAGCGAAGGTGGGAAGGTGACTCCAGCAGGAGTGAAGGTGGCGCCAGCAGCCAGGGGAAGGAAGGCCCATTCTTGCACGAATCTTCGTGCATCAGGCCTCTAGCCTACACTAATAAAAGACAAACATGCAAATTGACCGTACCTTCACTATGCCTTAAGCCACGCCCACCAGCCAATCAGAGCAGCTATATGCAAATTAACCCCACCAAGATGGCAGCCGGCAGCCACGGAGCTGGAGCGAGCAGGAGGCTTTGTTGCCCCAATGATGGAGGAAACCAACTTCCTGCCTGCCATGGCCGGCTCTGAGCTCCACTCAAAGCAACAAAGTTTCAATTACAGAAGCTAAATAAACCCCAGATACATGCTTTCAGCCGGTCATGGCCACAGAGCTGGAGAGAACAGGAGGCTTCCCTCCTGCCCACCCTGGCTAGCTCTGAGCTGCTCTCAAGTCTACAAAGTTTCAATTATAGAAGGTAAATAAATCCCAGAATAAAAAAGAAAAAGAAAAAAAGGAGAGGCTGGGAGCTTCTGTCGCCAGGGGGTTTGGCCAGCCTGAAAACGGCCCTCAGCCCCTCACACAGACTGGCCAGGCACCCCAGTGGGGACCCCCACCCTGAAGGGGGACTGAACAGACTGAAAAC